GGTGCCCTCCGCCTGGCCGTCGACCCCATCCTGCCCTGGCCCAGGTCCAGCCCAGAGCTGAGGCAGAAGCAGGCTGTGGAATCCTGGGGGCCCCAGTCGCCCGAGACGCCTTCGGAGAGGGACCCAGGTCCCAAGACCATGTGGCCACCCAGAATACCCACCGACTCATCACATGGCGTGGTCACCACGCCCTTTGGGGGCCCCCGAATGCGGCTGGCTTCGTGATCCCCCTCCCCGAGATTTGACGCTGAAGAAAAGAACTATGCAGCATCGCAAAAACATTACCCCGTGACGTACCCAACCCATTTGCATCAAGTGGCAAGAGGAGTTGGCCCAAACTTGCCAAGACAATGACAGTGCAAGCGCCGTTATATGTCGTGCAAGCTACATGGGATGCGGTCACGCGGCACGATTCACAGGACCACAAATGAAGGACGCGGAGCGAGGGCCTAGTGTTGAGGAGGACACGGGGGCGGGAACGAACGGCTGAGGAAGGACGCGCGGGGGGCCGAACCGTCAGCGCGGCAGCAGCAGAGGGAAGGTGGCATGGGGGCAGAGGACGACGACGAAAATGACGGGAGGAGACCGAAGAATGTTGTTTTGTGCGCTACAGATGCAGCGCTGCCCGCGGCGTGTCGCCGCGGCGCTCGATCAAATGAGTAAGTCTGCTATAATTCATTCAAGAAGCGAGAGACGCCTAGCTCGCCCGCCAGCTTCTCTGTTTCCTTCCTGCACTCTTCAATGCGGGAGCTAAACGCCAGAAGGCGCGTCGCCGGGTCTGCGGGCGGCCCGCGGGCCAGGAAATCCAGGCCGGGGCCGCGCATCATCAGGAGGATGTCCGAAATAGGAAAAACGGGCCCAGGCGGTTGGTCCGCGTAAAAAGTTACTCCCTCTCGAAAGTGGCGACGGTGTCGCAGATCGCAGCCCCACACGAATGGCGAGGTGGTCTTTCGATGGTCCGCGTAAGGCGTCACTCCGCTGCACCCCCCCGCAGCCCTCGAAAATGGCGACTGCTTCGCAGATGGCAACGCCCCACGGATGGCGAGGCCTCACTTGAGTCTGGGTAAGACGCCACCCCGCTGCACCCCCCAGCTGCCCTCGAAAGTGGCGACGATGTCGCAGATCGCAGCCCCCCAGGGATGGCGAGATCTCATCTGAACCTGGGTAAGACGTCGCTCCGCTGCACCCCCAGCAGCCCTCGAAAGCGGTGCCAATTTAGCAGATCGCAGCCCCCCAGGGACGGCGAGGTCTGATTCGAGTCTGGGTAAAAAGTCGCTCCGCTGCACCACTGGACAGCCCTCGAAAGTGGCGACAGTTCAGCAGATCGCAGACCCCCCAGGGATGGCGAGGTCTCATTTGAGACTGGGTAAGGCGTCACTCCGCTGGACCCCTCGAAAGTGGCGGCAGTTTCGCAGATCGCAGCCGCCCAAGGACGGCGAGGTCTCATTTGACTCTGGGTAAGACGTCACTCCGCCGGACCTCCCACCAGCCCTCGAAAGCGGTGCCAGTCTAGCAGATCGCAGCCCCCCAGGGACGGCGAGGTCTCATTTGAGTGGGGTAAGACATCGCTCCTTTGCACCCCCCAGCAGCCCTCGAAAGTGGTGACGGTGTCGCAGATCGCAGCCCCACCAGAGATGGCGCGGTCTCATTTGAGCCTGGGTGAGGTGAGACGTCACTCCGCTGGACCCTTCGAAAGTGGCGACGGTGTCGCAGATCGCGAAGCCGCCCAAGGACGGCGAGGTCTCATTTGAGTCTGGGTAAGACGTCATTCCGCTGACCCCCCGGCAGCCCTCGAAACCGGTGCCAATTTAGCAGATCGCAGCCCCTCAGGGACGGCGAGGTCTCATTTGAGTCTGGGTAAGACGTTGCCCATTTGCACCCCCCAGCAACCCTCGAAAATGGCGACACGAAGATCGCAGCCCCCCAAAGGACGGCGAGATTCCATTTGAGTCAGGGTAAAACGTCTCTCCGCTGGACCGCCCTGCAGCCCTTGAAAGTGGCGACGGTTTCGCAGATCGTAGCCCCCCAGAGATGGCGAGGTAGGAGACATGCTGGCACGCAGGAAAGGGCGAGGCGATGGGGCAGGAGAAAGGAGGCAGGAGGCGGAGAGGAGGACGGAGGCGGGAGGAGGGAGGCGGGCGGGAGGGACGGAAGGCGGGAGGTGTGCGACAGCAGTGCTGTATTCAAAACGAGTGCCCGACACTAGTAGAAGGCGGGAATTACCCTGTGATGTACCACACCCATTTGCATCAAGTGACAAGGTGGCTTGGCCCACACTTGACAAAACGATGACAGTACAGGCGCCGTTATATGTTGTGCACGCTACATAGAATGCGCCCACGTGGCACGATTCACAGGACAACAACAGAAGGACGAGGAGCGAAGTCCCAGACTTCAGGAGGAAATGGGGGCGGGAATGAGGGGCAGGAGAAGGACGCATGGGGGACCGAACCGTCACCACGGCAACAACAGAAGGAAGGCGGCATGGGGGCTGAGGCGGGAGGAGACCGAAGAGTGCTGCTTTTGCCCGCAGTACGCTAAGCATACAGCGTTGCCTGCGCCATGTCGCCGCGGCGCTCGACAAAACGAGTAAACCTGCTTAAAGTAAGTGTAAGAAGCGAGCGAGGCCTAGCTCGACAGATAGCGTCGAAGCCCCCCAGGAAGGGCGAGGTCTCCTGGTGTTCCGCGTAAAACGATGCTCTGCTGGACCCCCCGGCAACCCTCGAAAATGGCGACAGCTTCGCAAATCGCACCCCCCCATGGTTGGAGAGGTCTATATTGAATCGGAGTAAGACGCCACTCCGCTGCAACCCGCCAGCAGCCCCCGAAAGCGGCGACGGTTTCGAAAATAACAGCCCCCCAAGGCTAGCGAGGCCGAATGTAAATCTGGGTACAACGTCTCTTCGCTGGACCCCCCAGCAGCCCTCGAAAGTGGCGACAATTTAGCAGATCGCGGCCCCCCAGGGATGGCGAGGTCTCACTTGAGTCTGGGTAAGACGTCACTCCACTGGACCCCCCAATAGCCCACGACAATGGCGACAGTTTCGCAGATCGCAGCCCCCCAGGGATGACGAAGTCTCATTTGAGTCTGGGTAAGACGTCTCTCCGCTGGACCCCCCCAGCAGCCCTCGCCTCGAAAGTGGCGACAGCTCCGCAGATCGTAGCCCCCCAGGGATGGCGAGGTCTATGTTGACTCTGGTAACACGCCACTCCGCTGGACCCCCCAGCAGCCCTCGAAAGTGGCGGCCGCTTCGCAGATCGCAGCCCCCCAGGGATGGTCAGGTCTCATTTGAGTCTGGGTAAGACGTCACTCCGCTGGACCCCACAGCAGCCCGCGAAAGAGGCGACAGCTTTGCAGATCGCAGCCCCCCAGGGACGGCGAGGTCTCTCTCATTCGGGTCTGGGTAAGACGTCACTCCACTGGACCCCCAGCAGCCATCGAAAGTGGCGACAATTTAGCAGATCGCATCCCGCAGCCCCCCAGGGATGGCGAGGTCTCATTTGAGTCTAGGTAAGACGTCGCTCCGCTGGACACACCGGGAGCCCTCGAAAGTGGCGCCAGTTCAGCAGATCGCAGACCCCCAGGGATGGTAAGGTCTCATGCGAATCTGGGTAAGACGTCACCCCACTGGACCCCTCAGCAGCCCTCGAAAGTGGCGACAATTTCGCAGATCGCAGACCCCCAAGGATGGCGAGGTCGAAATTGAGTCTGGGTAAGACGTCACATCCACTGGACCTACCAGCAGCCCTCGAAAGTGGCGGCCGCTTCGCAGATCGCAGCCCCCCAGGGATGGTAAGGTCTCATTTGAGTCTGGGTAAGACGTCACTCCGCTGGACCCCCCGGGAGCCCTCGAAAGTGGCGCCAGTTCAGCAGATCACAGCACTCCAGGGATGGTAAGGTCTCAATCGAATATGGGTAAGACGTCACTCCACTGGACCCACCACAAGCCCTCGAAAGTGGCGGCCGCTTCGCAGATCGCAGCCCCCCAAGGCTGGCGAGGTCGAATTTGGGTCTGGGTAAGACGTCACTCCACTGGACCCCCCAGCAGCCCTCGAAAGTGGCGACAGCTTCGCAGATCGCAGCCCCCCAGGGATGGCGAGGTCTATTTTGAGTTTGGGTAAGACGCCACTCCGCTGAACCCCCCAGCAGCCCTCGAATGTGGCGACACGTTCAGCAGATCACAGCCCCGCAGGGGCGGCGAGGTCTCTCTCATTTGGGTCTGGATAAGACGTCACTCCGCTGGACCCCACAGCAGCCCGCGAAAGTGGCGACAATTTAGCAGATCGCATCCCGCAGCCCCCCATGGATGGCGAGGTCTCATTTGAGTCTGGGTGAGACGTCACTCCGCCGGACCCCCCAGCAGCCCTCGAAAGTGGCGACAATTTAGCAGATCGCAGACCCCCAGGGAGGGCGAGGTCTATTTTGAGTTTGGGTAAGACGCCACTCCGCTGGACCCCTCGGCAGCCCTCGAAAGTGGCGACAGCTTCGCAGATCGCAGCCCCCCAGGGATGGCCAGGTAGGAGGCAAACTGGCACGCAGGAAAGAGCGAGGTGAGAGACAGGAAAGAATTGGAGAGGGGGCGTGAACGAAGGAAGGGGAGGCGAGAGAAGGTGTGCGACCGCAGTGCTCTAAAACATGACCAAAACCTCGGACCCCATCCCTCTGCGGCATAGCTTTCCGCCGGATCGAGCCGTGTGATCGAGAACGCCCAGTGCGAACAACAATCGCAACGCCAGGAAACCAGGAACAATCGCATCGCTAAACGAAACAACAGCGCAAAACAAAACGCTGGGCCTGCCCGACCGTCTGCCATCGGTTTACGCAATCGTTTGAAACCAAAACAAAACGCGTTCAGAACGAAAAACAAATCAAACAACAAAACGACCATTTTTCATGTACAACAACGTTTTCGGTCAGCGCTGAACCAGGCCTCCCCGTCCGCCCCCCGTCGTGCCGTCCGCCCCGACGTGGTCCGACCTCGACCGCCTCGCTTCCGGTC